GTACATTTCTGCCATATGTACATTAACTGACAGTCACCACTGATAAGCTACTACTAAATATTGTAGAAACTTAATTTGCTGTAAAGTTGCTTTGCAACTATTTGTATCGTGAAAAGCTCTATACAAATAAACTTGAATTGAATTAAATGTAAACACCATTTTGCTTGAGTCCAATGTAGATTTAACATCCCAGGCTCATTGGAAATACTTGTTTGTGGTGACGTTCCTGCAACACAGAAATTTGCGTTCTATACGTGTTGATGGCCATGTTTTTATTCAACTTGGTCTCATAAAAATACGTACCTCTGGGTACTTTTCTGCAACACTGTTTTTACGTACCTTACTGCACGTTTCGACACAGTTTCAAAGAGAAATGTCCACTGAGTGGCGCTAAAACATGGGTTCTATACGTGAACCCTGGTACGTTTTTATTAAGTTGATATAGGTACGTATTGAGTGTTTTTATTATGTTGCTTCAGGTACGTATTGCGGCGGTTCAGAATTCAAATATCCGTGGACTGTCGCTAAAAGTTAATGCTCTACTATCGTTTTGGAAATATGCCCTACACCAAACCCAACCCTAAACCTACCCGATAGTGTTAACAAATGCAAAACTGACATAAACTGTTTTGTCAAACCGTAATTCCACGGGATTCGAACCAGAGCTCCTCACCTCTTAAGTATGTCTCCGTACACCGTGATCTACCGAACAAACCTACCGTCTATGAAAACCCATATATATGAAGCTGGATATGTGCGATGCTAACGTTCAAAAGCATCAGTTTTCAAATCTCCCAGCATATTAAAATTGTTTTGAAGTTATAACATAATATTCTTCAAGTAATTGTGCGAAAATTACGCTTTATTAATCAAAACTCTGTAAATTTGTGTGAAAAGGAATACAAGGTGTCATAGTTTTACTGCCTCTAGTGTTAATTTATTTTGGAAACTGCAGTGATATGTACTTATTGGTACGTATTTCGCGTCTCGCAAAAAAGTGCCCCCAGGTACGTTTTTGCCATGAGACCAGGTCGTTTTTATTACATTGCTTCAGGTACATATTGTGGTGGTTCAGAATTAATAGGTTCATGCTTTATCTTGTTGGAAACAGAACTACCTTGTTTTATCTTATCTACCTTTATCTTGTTGGAAACAAGATAAATCCAACCCTAAACCTACTCGATAGATGTGACACTAACATTTAAAAGTATCAGTTGTCAAATCTCAAAACATAATATTGTGCAATTAATTGTGCGAAAATTAGGCTTTCTTAATCAAAAAGGTGCTACACACTGCCAAGCAAAGCACAAGATACGTCTGGTCTCAACCTCTGACCGCAAGGCCACAGACTGCCTGAGTCTGTTCACTGACCGTCTAGAATATTGCATATATTGATTGTGTCAATATAAATGTCCTGAAAAAGCACTTCTGGAAAAGAAGTAATTACTGGATTTGCCAAAATTTGGGATTCAAGGTCAAATCTTTATTTGAGGCACTTTGTACCATTATTTGCATAAATTAAAATGTTCCATGTTTGTCTCCAAACAAACAAACAAACAAACGGTTGGTCACTTTACTTGTTAATCAGACAGTCTCTTCTTGACCAAGTGGGCAGTTATTGGCCTGAATAAACTGCAATCTTTATGGCGCTAGTTAGAAGTCTGGCTACGTGAGTCTAGGTTTAGTGGACTCTACCACATTTGACTCTAATCTTTTGTTGGTCTTATGTTTAGGGGTAATTCATAGTTTTCAGTCATGTGATTTGTGCGCAGACCAAGAGGGCAAAACATCTACAGAACTGCAGAACAAACCTGTCAATTTTCCATCTGTTCAAGTCATGAATATTTAGATTAAAAAAGTCAATAAACTGCACGTTTTAGGCACTTGCGATCCATATAGAGCACCCACCACAGTATTTTAATGTAATATTTAATCACTAAAAACAGTGGGACATTCTAAAATGTTAAAAACGCTTTATGTGCCCAAATGCATTAAGACAGTGGTATTCAAAATCAAAATCAACCTTACTGATGATGCATACTATATACAGGCATGCAGATGAACCTAGAATATAAACACAATATACTAAACTGCATGGGATTTCTACGGGAAAATGCTTAAAGTGAACTGGCGTTCATATTTGGGATTCATCTGCATATTATGTTTTATATATACTGAATCCATCATGTGTTCTTTTATCCACCTGTTTGACATTGTTGACATTACAACGTTGTAAAAGTTCAGAATGGCTCAGTTTCAATAAACAGATGTTTTGAAGGAAGTATTAAGTTTTGAGTTCTGGAAAACGTGATTCCTCCATGATACTGTATGACACCTTTAAGGTTAGACACTTTCCCTACATCAGAAATCAGCTGTGAAGCATGGTGTAACATTTGATCTCAATCACTGGAATCAAGTTTGACCTAGCAGGAAGTAAGGTTTACCCCAGCAGGAAGTAGAATGCCTGCTGTTCCTCTCCATACTCAGCTGTTGTAGTGTAGCTATAAGGACAGCACTCTAGCCAAGATAACGGAGTTATCAGGAGGTATTTTTCATGTGAGGTCGCCCATCCCAGCCTTAACACACACGCACACGCTGCTCCACACTGGATTTGAGGGAATGAGACCTGAACTCACCTTCCTGGTCACGGCCGGGTCGAGATAACTCTGCAACTTGTGGATGTATGTGTGAGGAGGATTCTTCACCTGGAATCGTTCCTGGAAAAGAGAGATGTGTTCATCATTTTACTGACTTTAGAGTATAAAGTCAGTAATTTTCATATTAGTTCTAGGTGTGTGAGGAATGTGGTGTAGGTTTATCCAATTTGTGGGTCTTTTTTGAGTCACAGATAACAATAAATCTGAATTACATTTAATATTCACATAATGTTGTTCCAATTAACAAAAATGGCTGATCAATTTAATGTTGATAATGTTGATGTCTATTAAGAGTTTCTGAGCTCCTAGCATGCATTGTGACATTATTAAAACATGTTCTTACTCTTATAGAGTGATATTTATCATCATCTTCAATGGAGTGTTGAGGATCATGTGCGACTCTGCATTGTTCACTTCATATATAGGAGTTTAATTGCTAATTTTGCAATGACCAAAGTACTGTAGTGTTATTTGAGACAATTATAAAGTTATGAGAGAGATTGTTCACAGTGCACATACACACATTGAAAGTATGTGAACCACCTCTTCAGACTGAACAAGTTCTGAACACAACTAGGAAACAGTAAACAAAAAATTACAATTTAACAAATCACACTGATATGTTAAATAATATCAGTCTCTGTGTGATCATACGTCTCTTCACCATATAACAGAAATTAATTCAGAGGACCTATTATCACAACTCAATGCATGGCTGCAAAAATAAATAAATAAATAAATAAAATAAAAATAAAATAATAATATGGCAGTATCCTCTCAGCTATGTTCCTTCTTAGAGAGAAATAATATTTCTGAGGATTTCCAGTCAGGATTTAGACCGTATAATAGTACTGAGACTGCTCTCATCAGAGTTACAAATGACCTGCTCTTATCATCCGATCGTGGTTGTATTTCTCTATTAGTGCTACTGGATCTTAGCACTGCGTTTGACACTATCAACCACAACATTCTTTTGAGTAGACTACAAAATTAGGTTGGCATTAGTGGACTTGTATTGTCATGGTTCAAATCTTACTTATCTGACCGCCATCAATTCATAGCAGTGAATGACGAGAATATCATATCGATCAGAAGTACAGTATGGAGTACCACAAGGCTCAGTACTAGGACCGTTGCTTTTCACACTTTACATGTTCCCCTTGGAAGATATCATCAAGAAACATGGTGTTAGCTTTCACTGTTATGCTCATGATACTCAGCTCTATATTTCTTTGCGGCTCGATGACACATACTAATTCGCAAAACTAACGGAATGCATAGTTGACATAAAAAACTGGATGACTAGTAATTTCCTACTGCTATATTCTGAAAAAAAAAACAGAGGTTTTAATTATAGGACCAAAAATCTCTGCATGTAATAACCTAAAACACTGTCTAACACTTGATGGCTACTCTAATTACTTATAAAGCCCTGAATAGTTTAGCTTCTCAGTAATGGAGCAAGTTCATATAGCATTATAGTCCTTCACGTCCGCTACGATCTCAAAGCTCTGGCAATTTGATAATACCTATAATGTCAAAATCACCTGCTTGCAGCAGATCCTTTTCCTATTTAGCGCCCAAATCTAGATTAAAGACCCTTCTCTTTAACCTGGCATACACATAACACACTATCACATTTCTATCATTCAAATTATTTAAAGGATTGTTAGGTTGCATTAATTAGGTCAACTGGAACCGGGAACACTTCCCATAACACCCGATGTACTCGTTACATAGTAAGAAGAATGATACCTACGCTAAACGGTAAAATTCCGGCAACCACAGCTGCCGGTTTTCTACCGTAAATTTTACGGATTTTTAGATTAAAGACCCTTCTCTTTAACCTGGCATACACATAACACACTATCACATTTCTATCATTCAAATTATTTAAAGGATTGTTAGGTTGCATTAATTAGGTCAACTGGAACCGGGAACACTTCCCATAACACCCGATGTACTCGTTACATAGTAAGAAGAATGATACCTACGCTAATATTAGTCTGTTTCATTCTTATTCCGAGGTCACCGTAGCCACCCAGATCCGGTCTGTATCCAGACCAGATGGTGGATCAGCATCTATAGAAACGACCTCCACAGCCCTGAATGTCAGCGGAGACCATGTCAACTAGAAGAGCCCCAGAGACAGATCCCCTGCGAAGACCTCTTCAACTAAACGGCCATTGGGACAAGACCACGGAAACCAGACAAGTCCTCTTCACTTGTGTTGCAGCCTGGAATTAAACCACGACATGCTGGTTTCGTCTGGCCAGAGGAGAACTGTCCCCCCGACTGAGCCTGGTTTCAAGGTTTTTTTCTCCATTTCTGTCACCGATGGAGTTTTGATTCCTTGCCACTGTCACCTTTGGCTTGCTTAGTTGGGGACACAATTTCTGGCAATATTAATTGTCGGCTTGATTGCACAGATACTATTGCAAGAGAGCTGAACTGGATGATGACATCACTGAATCATCCATTAACTGACTTTAACTGAAAAATTGTTATTTGTTATTGTCCTCTTGCATTATTGACAAACTATGTTTCTGTTTAACACTGTAAAGCTGCTTTGACACAATCTGTATTCTATAAAGTGCTATATAAATAAAGGTGACTTGACTTGACTATTTTTATGACTTTAGACTACAACTTTATACTAAATTGTGTTTACACTACTAATTAAGGTCCTCCATCTCAGTGTATTTCATTGGTTGAACATAATTTCATTAGAAGTTGCCCTAAAAGATGGATGAAAACTGCATTATTTATTTATTTATGAGCCAAAACATTTGTTTTTAGAGTTTAAGAACTGGGTTGACAGATTACATATTGTATGAGATTAGGGTTAGGGTAGCACACTGCTCTAAATTCTCCTAAGAGAGATTAGTCATCATTCAGACTAAACTACTATGAACTGGCCAACAGTGTGAGGACACAGATACTGGCATTCAGTCAAACAAATCAACATGCATTTGAAATATTTGCTAAATACACGTTGTAAACACCATGGTCCAAGCAAATATATATTTTTGCTCATTAACAGTATTTTAAATTTTCTACACAGACTTACACAGTTAAAATGCAAAATGTAATTGAGGGCAGGTATATCAACATAAGTCCACAAGTCTGTCTGTGTGTCCATAATCTTGTCAGTTGTGTTTTAGAGCAGTGGTTTTGAGTCTTGTTCCTGGAGCGCCAAAAACAATGCCCATTTTGCATGTCTCTTTAATCAAACACACCTGATTCAGATCATCAGCTCATTAGCAAATACTCCAAACCTTACAAAGGAAGTGCTACAGAATTTAAGTAAAAATTATTATTAATCATTTTTGATTAAGAATGATTATTTTAATGATCATTATTATTAGTTTATGTATAATAAGTATACATACTAATAATTTTAATATATACTAAATCAAATGTGTATTCCATTCTCTCACACATTTGGATGTTTTCCTTGGCAACAGCCAATCAACAGCAGCACATAACAGGAAAGAGGAAGAGACCTAGTTCCCTTCAAAACAACACAAGGCCCCTGCACATACACAACATATCAGCCACTGCTATCACTTTGACACTGAACATGTGGCCGGTGTGTGTGTGTGTGTGTATGTGAAAGTAACACAAGAGCAAGCCTCTTCTTAGGGTCTGGAGTGTATTGTATGGAACAGAAGGGTAGAAGTATGAGACAACATAGCATTTGTTATACAGTAGTTAGTATAAAAAATGGGCAAGCGTATTTTTACAAAGCATACCTATTATTATTGTTACTGTTTTTAGGGTAACACTAGAATACGGAACACATTCACTATTAACTAAGAGCTTTCCCTCAATAAACTGCTAATTTGCTGCTTATTAATAGTAAGGTAGTTGTTAAGTTTAGGTGTGGGGTAAGAGATCTAAAATATGGACATGCAGAATAAGGCAACAATATGTGCTTTATAAGTACTAATAAACAGCCAATATGCTAGTAATATGTATGCTAATAAGCAAGTAGTTAGTCGTGGTAATTGGTTCTTAAAATAAGTTGTTAGCGTTTTTAGTAACTTGATCAACATGGCAGGTCATGTGATCTCAACATACAGAAAACTATCAGCGAGGTCACATGATGGCCAGTACAGTTCACCATCTCTGTCAATATCACTGGTTGGATGGGACAAACACAGTGGAAGATGAATAGAAAACAAACAACAGACAGACAAGTTGTGTTGTCTTCATGAGAACATGATTGAGACAATATGTTATGTCTGCAGGGCCACAAGGTCACCTGATGAACAAACAATGACTCAGTGTAGTACAGTGAGCCCACACTTGTTCTAATGAAATGCATGGTAAAACCTGAAATACATGACGGACTGGTGGAGTTCATTTCCATGGGGCATAATATGTGGCACCATGTTAAAGTTTAACCATAAATTAAAATTCTGTGATCATTTACTCCACCTCATATCGTTTCAAACCTGTATGACTTTATTTCTTTAGCTGCTAGCTGAACTTTACTCTAGATGAAAGACCGTGAGAATGGAGGAGGTAAGAGAAGGAGAGAATGCATTACCTGGTCACAAATGAGTTCCCATTTCTTCTCATTGTCGTACTGCCGTAGTAATCTTGCTTTGTCTGGAGGCAAGTTCATTGAGTTCTGTGTAAAGACACAAAGAGAGAGTGAAGTTAGGTTAAACTCCTGTAACTTCCACAGCTATCAGACAGACAAGAGTGTCTCTATATGTTTACTGGGGTAATGACAAAAAAATAAGGAATGACTTATAGCAATGCACATCTCACAGCTTCAACGTTTAAGAAGTAAAGTGTGCTTTAAATGCAGTGCAGTTTTAAAGAGGCTTTAAAAATGAGCTGAAGTTGAAGAATGTGTGTTTGTCTGACCCCTTAAAAATAAATTCACCCCATTTATAACAAACTCACTGTATTAGAAAAAATGACTGTGTGTAAAATGTGCAGGTTCAGCAGAAGAAGAGGAGACACATGGGGCTGTGTGTCTGATTTGCCAGCATCTTCTTCCTCTACAGACAGCAGCGAGAGCTGCTCAACTCAAGAATTAATACTGCTATAAAACACTCCCATCAGTGTGGAAAGAAAAAGTCATCAGTGTCACGCTGACACACACACGAGGGACGAGGAGACGCTGGAGAATACTTTTAACAGGACTTTATTTGCACCAAGGGAGACGAACACAGGAAGACGTTCACAGGAAGACGTACACAGGAAGACCTTCACCATCGGACAGAGAACTAGGGACTGGGAACACTTTATATACACACACACACAGGAGGAGGGGATGACGAGACACACCTGGGAGCCATGACACATCAAGGGAAACACCTGGGAAGAAATCAACTTAATCAGGGGAGGAACAGGAAACAAACCAAATAAGGGCATGGGAAGGCACATGGGGAGCAGGACACACACGAAACATGGAACAGAGTCTGACAGTAAGAAACCTAAACTGAGCTTATTTTCTGCAATAATACAAAAGCCAATGGAAAAATCCTATTGGGTTTTGGTCAAGGGAACCAGGGTGGTACTAACTTTTCGGGTTGGCTTAGATTTTCTCTTAGCACCAAACAAAAGTTTGAACACCTTTTTCACTCATTGAACTTCATTGGAAGGTTTTTTTTTAAGACGGTTCCCTTAGATTTGCTTGTGCTAAAACCATTAACACATGTCTGCTATCAAGGCAGTTATAGTACAATCGCAGCTGAATCCAGTGTGTTTAGAACAGTCTCTGACAGCATGTGTCATTCAAAAGTGTATACAGTGATTTGTGTTACTGGATGACACCTGTGATCTACTTCCAACTTTGCTTCCACATTCAAGGCACATTCCGTTTTATTTTCCTCCATGGTGTCTACCTTTACACCACTCTCTCTTTCTGTCTCTCTTTCTCTCTCTCTCTGTCTCACAGTGGAGTTTATTTTTGTGCCTGGCATCAACTGGAGTGAATAATACTTTACTTAATGGAGTGTGCTCATATTAGCTGCTTTAGACATTTACTCATTCTCCTCTTCCTCTAAGAATAACCGTAGATCCCCATGCCAGAGTTCTTGTTTCACTCTGTCTCTCACTTTTATTTTCCTACTGCTATTTAGAAGGACAGGGACAATGTTTGGAAGAGCATCAACCACTCAATGACCAGACGTCAGATGGCAGACCTGGACCAGAACTGGTTAAGCAAGAGGAGAAATACAACTATGGCATAAAGAAAATCTATGGGGAAAAAAAGTTTGGATTAAAACATGGCTGTGATATTAAAATGCACCGTTTGGTTTCCTCTAGCTTGACAAAAGCATGAGTCTTGGTTAACCACTGCTGAATTATTTTGGCTGTTTGACGACAAAGAGTTAGGGTGAGGGAGAACAAGAAAGAAAACAAGCTCCTCACCCTGAACATATTACATTGTTGTAGAGGGTGTTTAAAAGCTATGAAAAAAAGACAGGGTCAAATAAAGGAGACACTGTGTTCTGTTATATATACAAATTATGGATTCCAGTTTAACATTTAAAAGGAGGCAGTTTTGCTTTTATGTCCAGTAAAAGTGACTATCAATAAAATGAACACACTGTACTGTGTAGACAAGAATATAAGTCATCTGTTAAGGTGAGGTCTCAAAAGCCAAACACAGAGAATGTTAAAACAATTGTGAATACATTAAAGATACTGTGAAAGTACTATCCGGTCCATAATGACGAGTCAAGTCAATGAATACTGTAGTAAATGTAAAATAAATTTGACTGTGGTGCAGTAGTAAGAGATCTTATGAGGTGACTTTTTCACAATATATACATATTTTGTGGAAAAACAATATATACATTTTTTAATACACTGAAGGAGGAAGGAAGTGGAAGTAGAGTAATGTCATTACACATAGCTGATCTAAGTCTTTGTACATGATAAGGATAATTTTAGCTATAAAATAGCTGCGAAGTCAAATTTCTGCTAATGATGCCTCATGGTCGTTATATTGTCAATAACTAATGTAGTAAGCCAATGAAACCGTGTTGTAAAATGTTATTGATCAAATGAATGGAAATCATTTGAGACATTTGTCATTTGAGTTAAATGAAGTTAGTAAATCTGCACCAAAGAGCTGCTCCAAAAGTTTCTCAAATGAGCACTGTCAGTGCTCTTGACCTCAACATATTTTATTGCAGAAACACATTAAAATTCAAGACATAACCTGAACAAACGTTTCCAACGCACAAATTCAGTGTTATGTCTGAGATAGGACCTGACTAACTAGTGCACTGAATCATTCCAGGTGGCAAAATCACTCGTGGCCGTCTCCCTCTGGATCTAATCAGTCAGGTACATGCTCACCCTCTAAGCCAGCACACAGACTGATATGAGTAATTTATGGGATGGAATTAAACCAATACCGATAATGACATTTTCTATGCTGCTTAGCAGCTGGTTTGTTGCTCCTAAGGTGTGAAAGTGGTTCTTTTTTGGGTTATGAGTCATGCATGGGAATTATAGTCTCAGTTTGAGATTGGTGGTACTTGCAGTGATCCATGTTATGGTCATTGAAGCATATTGAAGGCTAGAGTAAAACCTTTATTTGCCAGAATGTGAAGAAAAAAATCCCACTAGCAGATGAAGACATCTCAATATGCAATTGAGATACACCATTGGATTCCAGTCCATTGATCCAGGACCTTTACAGCTTTGTGACAGATCAGCATTGCATTAAGACATGGTGATTTTATTGCATGCTTTTGGGATCATGATATGAAATTGACATATTACATTATCAAGCACAATATAGGCTACAGGTAACAGAACAGTTTAGATGTGTTGTTTTCTGGTGAATCTAATGTATCAAAGTTAACTAAGCTGTTAGGAGTACTTGACAGCACATGTCTAGCCATTATATGTTAAGAACTCTCGTGGAGCATATTTTACTTAAACATGCAGTGTGTGAATGAAAAAATGAAAACTGGGGTCACCACAAAGGCACAGTGAAGCAAAATCTTACAGGCAGCCAGGGAATAGCTTAATGTAGCTGCATATATTCTGGAGTGGATATCAGAATATTTTCAATTTTCCCCTTTTCCTTGTGGGATATATATTTTTTTTTAAAACAAAAATTCCTATTAGAGGCTGGGTTATATATTTCTTTGGTTTGGGCTGGTCGGGAGGTGTACTTAAACCAGTATATTATGAGTATTAAGTCTGTCATGATTTCAGAATGTTATGCAGATAACATTAGCTATTGAAAAAAATTGCATATTTTCAGTGATGAAGATTATTATTTTTGTAGGTGCTGTTAACACTTTTATTCACTCTTTTAGTGAGCAAATGCATGTTAATAGTTGGATATTTCAATACAAATGGCATGTCTTTTGTAATAAAGTGCCAAAAAATAAAACAAGTATGTTTTATTTGGATTTTAACTGAAAACTAATTACAATTTAAAGGCAGGGTATGTGATTTTTCAAAAACACTTTAGAAAACTGATTCGGGCCGAATAGCAAAACAAACTTGTAGCCAATCAGCAATAAGGGGCGTGTCTACTCGTGATGTGGAGGAGAGAGCTTTCAGTGCATGGGACGGACATTAGCCGAGCCGAGCGACAGAAAGATAGAGATGGC